CCCCCCAGTTTTATTGCTGAGCATGACATCATATGGTATAGAATATCCCTTTAGTCAGTTGGGGTCAGCTGTCCCAACTGTGTCCCCTCCCAACTTTTTGTGCACCTCCAACCTACTTGCTGGTAGGGCAGTGTGAGTAGAAAAGGCCTTGACTCTGTCAGCGCTGCTTAGCAGTAACTAAAACATCAGTGTGTTATCAAGGCTATTTTCAGCACAAATCCAAAACAGCCCCATACAAACCACTATGAAGACATTTAACTCTATCCCAGCCAAAACCAGTACAGGTAGTTATCACTACTGGAAAAATCTTCCCCTGAAGAAAAATTAAAAAGAAAAAGATGCCTTGGCTGGGGTGCAGTACTTGCCTGATGGGCAAGGAGCAATTTCCTGGAGCAATACTTCAGCTTCTGGTAACTTGATGCTCAGAGATTTCTTGAGAGGGAGATCATATTTTTATGTTTAAATTTATACTTTTTATTAATACAAACAGCTTTTTGTCCATCTTATCCTTCCTTTTATCTTTGTTGCGGCACGACTCTGTAGTTGTTCCAGATTCACATGTTTGTATAGTAGACTTTTTATTCCAACATGAGCCTTTCAAGGGTGACATCTTCACGAAACTGGCTGTCAGAGTACTGTGAGCAAAATGGTGACCAAGCAAGTGTGCAAGATTCATCAGATAGATAAGACTGAGGAATTGCTAAAAGAGGCTGTTTTTCTTGCGTGTAAACAGGTGTAAGTAACATGGCATTTCGTCACCTAATTGAGTTCACCTATACAGCAAAATTAATGGTCCAAGGTGAGGAAGAAGCAAATGATGTTTGGAAAGCAGCTGAGTATCTACAGATGTTAGAAGCAATCAAAGCACTTGAAATCAGGTAAACGCATAAGCCTCTTTTTCTTCCCAACACTGAAATGTAAAGTCTTAAGAATCCTTTTACGAGAGCTGGCTGCCAGTATTTTGCAGTGCTGTTCTTTATCCTGGAACCTCCTAAACTTTTGTGGGACTGTATACTGTTCTACTATAAGATATGGGTCAGAATTACAAAGGCTAAAAAATGAACGTTGCATTCTTTGGGCTGGAACTAGATGACAAGTGACGTGGCTGGTAAATGCTGCAGACATTGAAGGGCTGTGACTTTGTGGTAACTAATACCAGGTCTCTGTGCTATCTGACTGCCCACACCTGATTGAGAGCTGGGTGTAAAGTGACGATGTCTCTCAGGTAGTTAGACCACATTAACAAGTTTGTGCTGGTGTTTCAATTTCATGCAGCTTTCTGCTTTCAAGAGAATAGGCAGTGATTTTAAAACTTCTTGGTGCAAAATTAATCTCTCAAACTTCTTGAACAAATGTAATTGTTATAATCGGTTTTATATGGGGATCAGTACTTAATCAAATGTTACTGTGGCACCTTTTATCTGATATGAGGAACTGTATTCTATTACCAAACTCCAACCTGAGAAAAGCAGGTGCCATTCCCATCATGCTGTTTTTCTTCCCCTTCCTTCCCTTTCACAAAGTGCTGTCATGTTCTCATTCCATCTGTATGCTACACTGTTCTTCTGTCATGAATCAGAGGGAGGGGCAATAAATGCCTCCCAGCATCACAATTATCCTCGCCTTCTCTTCCAGACCTGCTGAAAGTTATTTGTGCTCAGGGAGTTATTTGTGCTCAAGGAAAGACTGTTGCTTCCTCTTTATCTCCCCATAGACACACTAGTTAAGGAGAGTGGCATTGACCCCGAGTTCCTCTAGTAGCCAGATAATTTAAAAAAAAAAAAACAACCCCAAAACAAAAAAAAAAACCTAAACCAAAGAAAACCTCCATGATGTGGTTGTCGCGGATGGTAATACTTGATACGGTTATGATTTAGCAGCCATTCAAAATTTATTAATGATTTAAGGTAGATCAAGAGGTTGAATTTTAGCAGCACTTAATCATTAACCGATTTAAAGGTTTACAAAGTGATTTAACAAAATAACTAAACAGCGACTTAATTACAGATTTGAAGATGGCAAGATTCACACTAAGGTATCCCAAATCAATACATATACGTGTGAGCAAAAGCACAGATCTCAAATTAATACATATATACATAAGCAAAGCATATAAGTGTACACACACACACAGAGGTCTCTGATTGTTAGAATCAGGAATTTCTTAACAGCAGGTGACTCTAACAAGCCAACAGGTACCGTTTTTAAATCCTACACGTGCATGGACAGACGGAAGAACAACCATAAAGCTAATGTGTATATCGCAAACATATAGGTGGAGAGGTGGATGGAAGAGAGGCTAGCCTATAGTCAAAATTTCCCTTTCTGAAATTTAGGGTAAATACTCACAATGCATCGCTGTTACTCAACGGGTGGTAGTTGAGGCTCAAGAGAGATTCTCTCACCCTGGTCTCAAGGTGTCAACCTGAGTGGCGTCCCAACTCAGGGGAAATACTGGCCACAGCCCGTTGCAATCCAGAAGAGCTCAAAGGGTCTTTACTAGAATCGCTACTTGTAGGATCTGAGATAATTGAGTTTTGTCAGGTACTTTTCCACTCCGGCCGAGCTTGGACAATGGCATATTCTGGTACTTTCCACCGGTTACACAAGCCCAGAACTTACTAGGTCTTGGGGTCCTGGTATCCCCCTCTGTGGCCACGATCCATATGTTGTCAGGAGTGACCGATTATAGTTATTATTTTCAAATAGTAGGAGCCATAGGAAACAGGTACATAAAGGGTTGCCATAGTGTTCTAGTCTGTTGCTCTCCATCTTTTTTTCTTTCATGTTAGACCATTATGTATTGTTCTGGTCCATTGTATTATGTGACCTAGGTGGGGAAGAAATCGTGCCAAGTATTGAGAGGCCTAAGGGTGGGGTGGGGGGGTGTTGCACCACCACAATGGTACACTGGAAACTTGGTTTTCAACATCAGTGTTGACTTTTTTGAATCAACTTATTCTGTGGATTGGTAGCAGAGCTGAATAAGTATGTGGGGGTTTTTAATAGGAAAGATGGGATTGTGCATTTCTAGTCTTACCCTTCAACCCCACCAATGCTCTTTTTTTGACTTTATTAAGATTAAGCATGGTATCACCAAAAGAGCTTTTTTTTTCTCTCCATTCAGGAAAAAAGCAGACCTTTGCTGCTTGAAAAATTTAAAAGACACTTGAAACTGAAAAAATATGTTCTAATTGGTATCACTTGAGTCTGTGTACACTGGTAGAGCTGTTGAACCAGAGTTCAGATCAGTCTGTCAAGCTAAACTGTCCAGCCTGCAATTATTTCCCACTGTTGTATAATGTTATGCAGTTTGTTGGTTATGTATCACTAGTAGATGCTGTAATTCTCATGTTACAAGGAAACAAATGTTTTGCTTAACAAACACACATGCAAGCCAGTCTATTTAGAGTTATTTCCATTGTTAATTTTTAATTTTTGGTGGGGTTTTTTTTGGTTAGAAAACCAAACTTGAGTAACACTGTCAGTCTTGGTTTTCTCCTCCACAGTAGGAGGGAGAGCCACACAATGTGCTCAAGGACAGTAGTCTCCTCTGCTGAGCAGACTATTATTTTGGTACGTGATCCTGGAGCTCTTTGCAGTAATGTGCAAAGTAACTGTCACCTTCTAGACATCAGAAATCCAAGCTAGATGAAACTATAAGTTTAGCTGCTCTGCCTTCATGTATCTGAATATAGTAAGGTGCAATTTAATCACAGAATGGTAGGGGTTGGAAGGGACCTTCAGAGATCATCTAGTCCACCCCCCCTGCCAAAGCAGGTTCACCTAGAGCAGGTTGGACAGGAATGCATCCAGGTGGGTTTTGAATATCTCCAGAGAAGGAGACTCCACAACCTCTCTGGACAGCCTGTTCCAGTGCTCTGTCACCCTCAAAGTAAAGAAGTTTTTTCTCATGTTGAGATGGAACTTCCTGTTTTCCAGTTTGTGCCCCTTGCCCCTTGTCCTGTCACTGGGCACCACTGAAAAGAGTCTGGCCCCATCCTCTTGACACCTGCCCTTTAGATATTTATAAGCATTGATGAGATCCCCGTCAGTCTTCTCCAGGCTAAACAGACCCAGGTCTCTCAGCCTTTCCTCATAAGAGAGGTGCTCTATTCCCTTGATCATCTCTGTAGCCCTCTGCTGGACTCTCTTCAGTAGTTCCCTATCCTTCTTGAACTGCGGAGCCCAGAACTGGACACAGTACTAAATAAGCTGTATCGTGCATTAGGTCTTTAGCCATGCATCTCTGCCAAATGACATACAGATACTGGAGAAAAACCTTCTCTCTCCTATTACTAGAAAACCTGAAAGTGATAGGGAGTAGGTTACATAAAAGGATTCATCGGGCTGTAAAGGAAGGTAAAATTACTCAGTCTGATTTGAGGGGAAGATAGCCACTCATTTTCAAAACTGATAATCGGTGGTAAAACCTCCAGCATGTAAGTGGATAATCGTGAGGGTGTGACTTGAAAGCATTGTCCCACTCAGCTCTGTCTTTGTTTGAGATGGGATGCTTTCCCTGACATAGAGAGAAAGAGGGTTGTGTGTTTATGGTTCAAGAAGAGGAACAGAGCTGGGAGGTGTGTTTAAGCCCAGAAAATCAAATTAGAATACTCTTTCCACATCCCAGTAGCTTACTTAATTTTTTTATATTTTTTTTAACCTTAGCTGTTAGTTGTGTGCTTTCCTGAAGTACAAGATGTTATAATAATCATTGTGTGGTCACAGCTGTAGTGTTTTTTAACAAGCTGTAAGCGCTGCAGGCAAGTGCATCCACTCCAGAGCTTAACAGGAGAATAGCGTAGGAAGGACTTGAATCTTCTGAGTAGGCAGGCCAAAGAACTCCTTCCTTTGGGGAAGTTTTCTTTCCAAGTACAGAATTTCACAAGTTTCTTAGATAAACCTATGTCATTAGGCTAACTGGCCATCTTCTTGACAGGTGGTGTGTATCGTTAAAGCAAAGGTATTTAAAACACTTTAGTAACCTTATGTCAAAGGCTCCACAGCTTTAACCATGCTATTCTACAGCTCTAAGGAGTATAGATTAAGGACAAAGTAGCTTCTGAAATGCGTATTGAGGCCCCGTATTGAAAGGCCGCAATGAGGTCTCCCCGGAGCCTTCTCTTCTCCAGGCTGAACAACCGCAGCTCCCTCAGCCTTTCCTCATCGGAGAGGTGCTCCAGCCCTCTGATCGCTTTTGTGGCCCTCCTCTGGACCCACTCCAACAGGTCCATGTCTTTCCTGTGCTGAGGGCTCCAGCGCTGGACACAGTACTCCATGTGGGGTCTCACCAGAGCGGTTATGTGGTCATTCATCATTCAGCTTCTTTGAGAAACAGCTAGTGAGCATTTAATGCTGAGTATCAGGCAGGAATTGTTATGTATGTGCTTATAGATCTTAACTATGTTTCTGCAAATGCTTTTCAGGAACAAAGAAAATTCATCACCCTTAGAATCAAATCAAACACAAGATAAAAATAAACCGAAAAAGAGGAAGATAGCTGAAACCTCCAACGTTATCACAGAAACACTGCCATCTGCAGAATCGGAGCCTGTTGAAATTGAGGTTGAGATTGCAGAGGGGACAATTGAAGTCGAAGATGATAGCATCGAAACGCTTGAAGTAGCTTCTGCAGAGCAATCTATAAAGTACATACAGAGAACGGGTACATCGGATGAATCTGCTTTGGCTCTTTTGGCA